CCCTTTTGCAAGCTTCAGAACTATATTCTTCTCACGTGATCTTCACCAACATCTCTACCACTCACCCCACAAAAACAAGGGAGTTCAAAGAATAATGACATGTTAGATATCCTTAAGAGAGAAAAAAGATTAAAAAATTAGAAAAAGTCTTCCACTAGTGTGTTTTAAAGGCAAAATACCCTTTTTAGTCCTTTAACTTTACCCCGAGGTCCATTCTGGTCTCTTATCTTTAAAAAATTCCAAAGTGGTCCTTTAATTATTCAAAAAGGACCACAATAGTCCTTTCCATCCAAAAGGCACAAAAGGACGTTTGTTTTTTTATACGTGGCGGGTGATGTGGAATGCTATAAACATCTTTTCATTCTTTTCAAAATTGAACTGTCCCTTTCATTATCTTCTACCCAGACTCCCCCAAATTCCAGGGTTTAACAATTTTCTTCTCCTTTCGATTCTGTAATTGCTTGAGGAAAATGAAGAAAACATCATTAGCGTACTCAAGTCAGTGTTCATACGATTCGAATGTCAAGAGTGGTGGTTGTTAGATGGCAATTTGTGATGGAAACCCATATGTGGCTGTGGAGACACGAGTGTTCTTCAAAGGGCTTCAACTCTCACGAATTTTGGGAAGCAATTCTGAGGTTGTCGTCATTATAAGGTAAGAAAGAAATTAAATGGGTTATTCATTTTTTCTTCTTCTGGTCTATCTGAATTTTGAATAACACAGGGTTCATCTAAAACTGGATGTGGATACTTTCAATGGTTCTATGATGATGTGGTGGATGAGAAAGAGCAATTTATAAAGAAGCAAAATAATAGGTTGGAGAAGCTTCAAAATGACATTGATGTAGAAAAATTGGAGATAATGTCTTTAAAGGAAAGAAAGGATGGACTGAAACAAAAGATAAGGGGGTTTACAAATTGAAATGAAGAAGATGATGAATTCTGAAAAAAAATGGAAAAGAATGTTATGTATTGTATTAATTTTGGTCATTTGGATGATGTTGTAATTTTCGTATCATTTTGAATTTGTATGTTTAAGTTGTAACATTTTGTAATGAATTTTGGTGTTTCCAAATGGAACAAAGTATCATTCTGAATTAGTATGCAACAGTTGCAACACTTATGTTTTGTGTTTTCATTCACAGTCATACCATAACATATACAAAATCAATTGAATAAAGTCAACAATAATATTTAATTATAAGGTGGTGGATACCGCTAATATTCATACATTATAGGTCCAAAAAAACCTGATATTACAGGTCCAAAACACCACTAGATAGTATAGGTTCAAAACACTTTAACATAGTTTAACTAAAGTGAACATAACTTAACAGGATTATTAAATTAAAGGCATTAAACTGAGCTTTCCATTTTGGTGTGGCTCTCTTAGTAGGTGTTGTCCTTCTTGTTGTTGGACCTACAATAGTTTTTTATGCATTCAACCTAGTTGTTGGACCAGATGGAGTAAAAGGTGAATTTGGCCTTCTAACTTGCAACTTTTTGGATTTGTGAGTCACTTTCTTGGATGATTGAGAAGTAATTGGCTGAGATGCTGGAGCTGGCTGAGATGCTTAAGCTGGTTGGGATGCTTGACTTGGTTGGGATGCTTGACATGGCTGGGATGCTTGAGCTGGTTGAGATGCTTGAGCTGGCTGGGATGCTTGAGCTGGTTGAGATGCTTGAGCTGGCTGAGACGCTTGAGCTGGCTGGGATGCTTGACTAATAGATGGTACCTTGCAAGTAAGCTTTTTGTGTCCTGCTTTCTTACACCTGCTACACTTTATAATGAATTACGTCCTTCTCATCTTTTTATCAGAACCATCTATCTCACCTTGCTATAAATTCCTCCTTTTTTTAGCCTTCCATACATTTTCCTAAATTTAGGGGGCAGAATATTCAGATACTCTGTTCTCATCCACATGTTTGAGCCATTAACATGATATATTACAGGTTTGTACACTTGCATATATCTTGATTTTGTGTAGTAATCAGGAATGCAGTCATCAATCTTGTGGTTCTTACTTTTGATTGCTACAAGTCAATGAACACAAGGCAGGCATGTTAGCTCCCATCTTCTGCATGAACAATATTTTTCCTTCAAGTTGACTGTGAATTTTTCAACTGAGTTTTCCAGATGCCTCACTTTAAATATATGCTCATCAAATATCCTAGCATATAAATACGCATTCCAAATATATGCTCATCATAAATTGTTTAAAGAAATTTGTTTAAAGCAATTTACCTGACAAGCCACATGTTTGTGTATGAACTTGTTTTTTCAACCTTCTTCATAATGTTAGGCAATACTTCAACATCTGCCAATTTCTGAAACCTCATCCTGTTTTTAGCCCATCTCTCCATCATGTATATCCTAATTTCTTCCACCATGGTTATTAACGGCTTGGCCTTAGACTCCGGGATGACACTATTAAATGATCCTGACATATTATTGAGAATAACATCACATTTGTTATCAATCTTGAAGTATGATCTGCTCCAAAACCTTGGAGGGGTGCTCATCATGTGTTTGTATGCTTCTCCTTTGAGATCTTTCATTACTTTCATCTCTCTTTCCCAAGCTTGGTAGTAAGTTGACTTGACAACTTTCCATATTATTTCCTTTAGTTTTTTTCCTGGATACCTCTTCCTGAAGTTAGTGTAGAGATGCCTAACCCAGAACCGTTGTTCAACTCTAGGCAGCAGTTCTTCCATTGTAGGCAATAATCTTTAAGTCATCAAAAATGTAACATGAGAATTTGTAACATAAAATACTTATCAATGCAAAATTAAAAATAGAGTCATACCTTTTGTTGATCAGAGATAAAAGTGTATGTGAGACACTCTTCTCTTCCACCAAGATCATCAATAAGAAGCTCTAAGAACTATGTTCAGCTATCCTTGTTTTCACTCTCCACCACTGCATATGCTATTGGTAGCATTTGATCATTGGGATCTCTGCCCATGGATGCAAGGATTTGACCCCCACAAATGCCTTTCAAAAAACATCCATCAAGTCCAATGAAATGTTTGCTTAACTTATAGCTTTCCTTGCAAGCTGTCAAGCATATGTATATCCTTTTTAAATGTAATTTCTAAACACCACCTTCTTGTGCAGGTTCGACATTCACTTTTATAGTTGACCCTGGGTTAGCTCTTAATAACTCGTGTTCATAGTCATATATTCTTGCATAATCCCCTAGATATGACCCATCAACTATGTCTCTGGCTGCAAACCTAGCCATTATGGCCTTGGTTTTGTTGACCCCCACATTTCACTTCTTCTGTACCTTCTCCTTAATGTCCTTAATTTTCATTCTAGGGTTGGTTTTAAGTGAATTATGCACCCGCTTGCTCAGCCATTTAGTCTTCATCAACTTCACATTATATTCTCTACTGCAACTATGAGTGTCTACTACCTTTCTTAGTTGTTAAGAATCCTTAGTAGACAATTTAGCACAATAAGATTCTCATTTACATCCTTCCTTACACCTAACCCCAATCATGGTCTTGTCATTTTTAATGAACTTTAAATTTCTTCCAGATTGGACTGCATAAGAGGTAATAGCTTCCTTGAAATTTTCTATTGTAGTAAAGTAGGTTCCCACTTCTCATTTGTAATTGAACATATCCTTTTGAAGCTTGAAAATTGGATACTTATTTCTTCTAACTCTATTGCTATCATCACTATCACAGTCACTTCCTAGATCATCACTTTCATTATCTCTTCCTCTTCCAATTCAGTGTCATACTCATCAGAGTCATCATCAAATACTACCTCCATTACACTATCATAATTGAAGGTGTTATCATCAGCCTCACGAGACCTATGTCCAATATCATCATTTTCAACCTCAACAACCATTGGCCCATTATCATTAGTTCATACTGCATGAACACCATCTTCCCTAACATCATCTTCCCCAACACCATCCATGCTAACATCATCTTCCCTTACATCAGTTTTATTCAATATCTCCTCAAGCACAACTTCTGCCTCATCAACTATCACATTAAGGGATACCTCATCTAACACAACTTCAGTCTCATCAGCATAATCAGGCTTTGACAACGTGTGTTGAATAAAGACTTCAACACTAAGATGAACCTTATATAGATAAACAATCTCTAATGCCTCCTTGTCATCAACCAACATATTCATCCTAACAGTAAGATCCCTATAATATATATTCTCCACGTCTGCGTAACCTAGCTCTTTATAGCACCTATCAATTCAAAATAACTCCACTTATCAGCATCTACTCTCAAATCAACAATCTCACCTCCTTCCTAAACACTCATATCCTCAGTATCAAGTTCACCACTATGGTGTATTGTAATATTCAAATATTCCTCCATTTCAGACTATGCCCTAAATAGACACGAAGAGATTAGATTTCAGAAAGATTGATTTCAAAAAATCGTAACTACGAAAATTATAATTTTGAAGAAACTTACCTATGATGAGTTGTGTTGTGGTCGCTTTCACCTTCAAGAACGGAATATACCTTCGCTTCGCTCACAGCTTCTTCGCAGAACAGAGCATGCCAACAATGGTTGCGCTAGGATTAACTTCAAGTGTTGGAGATGTGTTCTGATACTTTAACTCATTCGCTTTTCTATTTTAGTTTTAAGATACTTTAATCCACCTGGACAGAAATATAAACACGTTAAATGCCACATATATGTCAATAAGCGCTATCATTGACTTTGACTAACGGTTCAGACGAAAAGGATAAACGTGATCATTTTTAAATAATTAAAAAATTATTTTAAAATTTTTTAAAAATAAAAGACCAAAATAGACTCCTAAGTAAAATTAAGAGGTTAAAAACAATATTTGGCCTATTTTAAAACATCACTCGTATTTCTAAATAATAGAAGTGATGACTGCAGAAAGATAGATGAGTTGTATTCTATCTTATTCCATTATTATAGCTCTTTGTTCTGCATTTGTGGTTTTGTATAATCGTTGACTTGATTGAAAATCAATTGAAACAATGTCTTTCTCCTCCGATCATCCATGGATCTACGACGTGTTCATAAACTTCAGAGGAGAAGAAACTCGTCACAACATCGTTTCTCATCTCTATGTTGCACTCTCAAATGCGGGAATCAACACTTTTCTTGACAACAAGAATCTTACAAAGGGAGAGGAGCTAGGACCAGAACTGATGAGGGCAATAGAGGGCTCTAAGATTTCTATTGTTGTTTTATCAGTCAACTATACAAATTCTAGCTGGTGTCTTAACGAGCTGTTACATATCATGGAATGCCGCAAAAAGTATGGCCAGATCGTTTTACCCGTATTTTACGGTATTGACCCATCGTTTGTCCGTAAACAGAGTGGTTTCCTTGGAGAAGCCTTGACAGTTAGTGCAAGATGTGTTGAATGTTTTAATCCAAAACGAAAGAAAAGAGATCTCTTGTACAAGTGGAGGACCACACTCACAGAAGTTGCTAATATATCTGGCTGGGATTCCCGTAGTTTCAGGTAATAAACAAACACTTGTTTGAATTTCTAATCATACTACTTCATAATTTACACCCATTCTCTGTCTTTATGATTATTATTATTACTGAAACAGTGAAGCTAAACTAGTGAAGAAAATTGTCGAGGACATTTTGACAAAACTAGATGTCTCATTGTTGTCTATTACTGAATTTCCGATTGGATTGGATTCCCATGTGCAAAAATTGACCCAAATGATTGACGCTCAATCAAGGAAAGCATGTATGATAGGGATATGGGGAATGGGTGGATCCGGCAAAACAACCATAGCTAAAGCTCTCTACAATCGAATCCATCGTAAATTTGAGGGTAGAGCAAGTTTCATTGAAAGTATACGAGAGAGTTGTGAAAGTGATACTAGAGGAATTATTCATTTACAACAACAACTTCTTTCAGATCTCCTCAAAATAAAGCAGGAGATTCATAGCATTGCATCCGGGATAACTAAGATCGAGACAAGACTTCGGGGGCAAAAGGCTTTTGTCATACTCGATGATGTGACCGAGTCGGAGCAATTAAAAGCTTTGTTTGGAAATCCTAAGTTGTTTGGTTCAGGAAGTGTATTGATTATTACAACTAGAGATGTACGCCTTCTCAATTCACTCAGTGCTGACCATGTCTTCACAATGACGGAAATGGACGACAACCAGTCTCTTGAACTTTTCAGCTGGCATGCTTTTCGACAACCAAGTCCTAGAGAAGATTTTAGTGAACTCTCTAGAAATGTAGTTGCTTATTGTGGAGGATTACCATTGGCTCTTGAAGTCCTTGGATCTTACTTATTTCAGAGGACGGAAAAGGAATGGAAAAGTGCTCTATCAAAATTAGAGAAAATTCCCAACAATCATGTGCTACAGAAATTGAGAATCAGTTATGATGGTCTAAAATATTATGAGGAAAAGGATATATTTCTTGACATATGTTGTTTCTTCATTGGAAAAAACAGAGCTGATGTTACAGAGATACTTAATGGCTGTGGACTTTATGCTGATATTGGAATAGCTGTCCTCATAGAGCGCAGCCTCGTAAAAGTTGCAAAGAATAACAAGCTTCAAATGCATGATTTGCTAAGAGACATGGGTAGAGCAATAGTTGGCGAAAGTTCAGCAAAAGAGCCTGGAAAGCATAGTCGATTGTGGTTTCAAGAGGATGTGTTGCATGTTTTGTCAAATAATATTGTAAGAACTCTTGAGCATCCTCTATAAACTTATCAAGATCACAAGACTCTTTTTATTTTTTTTGTTTCAAGACTAGTTTTGCGCTCCATAAATGTTAGCTGAAATTATTTGAATGCATGATTTGCATTCAGGTGTTGGTTTTTACTATGTTGTACTGACGCAAACACAATATTTTACACTAACACGTCGACAATGAAAATAAATAGAGAAAAAATAAATAATTGAATATTATCACGGTATTGTCTGACACTAATGTGTGTCGGATACAAAACACAATCTTAATATGAAGTGTCGGTTCTACCTAGCTTTCTGCAAGCAAGACACATGATTAACATTTTTCCTTAGTTTTCTCAGCTTTTTTACTTCACATGCAGGGAACAGAAACTGTTGAAGGATTGATTTTGAAGTTGCATAGAACTGGCAGAATTTGCTTCAGTACTAATGCTTTTCAGGATATGAGAAAACTGAGGCTTTTAAAACTTGATGGTACTGACCTCAAAGGAGATTATGGATTAATTTCCAAACAATTGAGATGGGTTGATTGGCAACGATCTACCTTCAAATTTATACCCAATGACTTTAATATGGGAAATCTAGTTGTTTTGGAATTAAAATATAGCAGTGTTGAACAAGTTTGGCGGGAGACCAAGGTATAGTGATATTTTCTTTTTAAATCAAAGGTTGATGACAATTAGATTTGTCGCCTCCTTTTCACTTCCCATTTTCTTCTCTTTTTTTTCTTCTTTCTTTTTAATAAATATTTTCTTGTAGTTGTTGGAGAAGCTAAAAGTTCTTAATCTCAGTCATTCCAAGTACTTGAAAAGAACTCCGGACTTTTCAAAATTACCGAATTTAGAAAAGCTCATCATGAAGGATTGTCCAAGTTTGTCTGAGGTACACCAGTCCATTGGAGATCTCAAGAATCTTCTTTTGATAAATTTTAAGGACTGTACAAGTCTTTGTAATCTCCCAAGAGAGATCTATCAAATGATATCAGTGAAAACTCTCATCCTGTCCGGCTGTTCAAAGATTGACAAGTTGGAAGAAGACGTGGAGCAGATGGAATCCTTGACAACTCTAATTGCAGCAAATACTGGTATCAAGAAAATTCCTTTTTCAATAGTAAGATTAAAAAGTATTGGATATATATCACTATGTGAATATGAAGGATTATGGCATGATGTTTTTCCTTCTCTCATTTGGTCATGGATTTCACCAACCAGAGATTTCATTCCCCATGTTTTTCCATTTGGAGGCAACTCATTGTCTCATGTTTCATGGGATGTAGATAGTATTATGGACTATCATTCACCAATTCTTAGATGTGTTTGGGTTCAATGCCAGTCCGAAACTCAACTAACTCAAGAATTACAAAAGTTTGTCGATTATCTATATGATGTAAATTTTACTAAGTTGGAACACGGACCAAACACCTCAGATCATTCCTTGAGATCACTTGTGATTGGAATGGGAAATACCGAAATAATCATGGATACTCTTGGGAAGAGCTTATCACAGGTCCCTACTCTATCTTTTCACCTTTACCAATATTTATTAATAACTAAGAGAACATGGAATGATTTTCCTTAATTCTTTAAATGGTAGTTTAAAGTTTCTGAATGTGACAAAAAATTTATACAATTTTATACCTGTTTATTTGTTTAATGTCTATATTTGACACATAAAAGATGTTTAGCTATAAAAGGACAGTTGAATAATTGTTGAAGCATATACATACGAGTTAATGTCCTTTAGACATCAGAATAATTAAATCATATTATTGTTTATGTGAATTATATATTGGATCTATAGCAAAATACGAAAGCAGTATATTCAACAGTAGTTTTTATAAATACTGAGATTTAGTATATGTTGTTTCTTTCCTCTCTACATTATTAGGAATCCATAACAGTCAGCTAAATGTTAATGTAATAGAACCCTTCATCAGAAAACATGTATCTGTTACGATTTGTTACTGTGAAAGCTGCCTATATTGCCTGGTTTCATTTGATATAACTAAGCATTTGTTCATGATACAGGGATTGGCAGCCAGTTCTATTGATTCTTTTCTTCCGGGCGACAATTATCCTTCTTGGTTAGCCTATACATGTGAAGGATCTTCAGTAATTTTCCAAGTGCCTGAGGATAATGATTGCGGCATGAGTGGAATAAGCTTATGCGTTCTTTATTCATCAATGCCTGGAAACCTGATAACAGAATGTCTCACTAGTATCTTGATCATTAATTACACAAAATTAACTATCCAGATTTACAAGCGAGACACAGTAATGTCGTTTAACGATGAAGATTGGCAAGGTGTGGTATCAAATTTAGGAGTTGGTGACAAGGTGGAGATATTTGTAGCTATTGGGCATGGATTGACTGTTAAGGCGATGACTGTTTATCTAATATATCATCAGTCAACTGCAATGGAAATTAAGCCAATACCTGAAGTGGAGGTGCAGACATCACCTGATGTGAAAATGGATCCATTGCCTAAGAAAAATAGAAAAATATTTGTAAGACTTGCAATGAGAGTGGGAGAATGTTTATGTATGAACCAAAATTGAGATCTCAACAATTTTTCATATTTCATATGGAACGCCCTTTATCCTAATATGGGATTCCAAAATTGAGAATGTTTTTATTATTTATATAGGAAATTTCTGTGGTATTGATTGCTTCGATCAATGTGTTTGTTATGTGATTCTGAAAATTTTGTTATGAGTTCATTTCTTATTATTTTGGATCTCATGATTAACTAGACATGGCTTGATGCTATGAAACTGTTATAAAAAAAATTTCATGGAATATGTAGTGATGAATGCAAGAAGAACCTAATACTTTTTGTATAAAATGAATTGATAATTTTATTAAGTCATTTTTAACTACTGTCTAGCATTAATTTCATCCTTCAATTTAGAATGATTTCAAGTGAAAAGGGTAAATGAGACATTGCTCAGACAAAACTACAACTGCCTTGTAGTCGCATAGTAGACACAATTGGCCAAACAAGTAGAACGCCCAGAGGCTCCTTCCACCTCTAAACCCCACCATGTAAAATATACTCAAACTTCTCGGTTTCTAAGGGTAACAGATTTTAACAGTCCACCAAAGGCTAACTTAGAGAGTTTGTTGGAAAACATCGAGAATATTTCAGCACTAGTAATTATTCGAGAACAATCTTTAGACTATGAGCTCAAAACATGTCTTCTTTCTGTACTCGGCACGTGTTGACTCATAACTTGGCTACTTGATTGACGAAGGTTGGATCCACGCTCAAACCACCTAGAGAAACGATGTAATTTGATTGTTACACAACTGTTACAAAATCATATTAGCACTCGACAGTTTTTCTCAAGAAAAAAAACTACCTTCCCAACGCTTTTGCCTGAATGGAGATACTCCACTGCATCTGCAACAGAATGTAGGCCTATAAATTTCTTCGGATCCACAGCAACCTGAGTGAACAAAGGAGACAAAAACAAAGAAACACAAACTTCAAAACTTTGAAGCACAAGTAGCAAATACAAGACCTATATGACAGGTATGAAGTGCATATAAATTACCTTTAAATTTCCCTTAGAGTAAAGGTCATATAGTTTATCAAGATGTTCTTGATACATGTGACAGTATTGCACCAGGAAAAAACCAGCCTGAAAAATTGGTCAATTATATAGGGTCATAAGAAAAGCAAAAATAAGTGACAGAATGAAATAAGGAATCATAAAAAAATTAGAAGTTTCCTAAAAGTGCATAACTTCATATTTCTACATACCACGGCTTGACTCTTCGACAAGAGCTTCTCACATAGACCGGGATATTTTGACGGTGTCCAGCCTTTTTCTCCTTGATACTGATATTAATGAAAAAAGCCTAGTTAAAAATTCATTTTCCATTATACTTAAACGAGGATAAAATCCTAGGTATTATTTAAATTTAGAAACACTAGATGAATCATGCTACTTTGTCAAGTAAAGGTAGCTTGTACTTAGCAGAATTTTATAGATGTAGTGAGATTTTCGCTAGTACTGATGTGTATACAATTGTGACACGAAAAGAAAAATAAAATAAGTAAGAACCTGAGAAATCATGCCAATGAGAATGAGTCGTCCATGGACTGCCAAAGCATCCAAAGCACAATTTTAGCATGTTGCCATTAACAGGAACTCTTTCCTGAGAACCTGCATAAGTATGCCACAAACTTAACATGTTGATAGGAAGCAGCTCATACAGGCTATGTCCATTGTACATGTTGATATTGAAAGTTTTGCCTAGCTGATTGAGCATACTCGCTAATAGAGTATAGAAAAATTCCGGGGTGCAACTTGCTCAACAGAGATGTTACATCATATGATTAGTAGATTCAGCTACAATCAAAAAATGTGATAATAACGGATAATATACCATAGTTACTATTATCAGAACCCCCCAAAAGTCAAAGGATTAAAAGAAATACCGTTTTTATATCTTCGCTATTATAGTCTATGACTCTGTCGACTCCCAACTCTTTCAGAAGCTTGGCCTTTGCCCCACCTCCACAAGTGGCAACCACAGTATTACCTGCTAATTTTGCAAGCTGCATAAATAACCCAGATTATTAAGACAGGCAACAGAACATTGGACTATAAAATCTGGATAGGAACAAAGTTACCTCCGTATTTTTAAAAATAATTTCATCTTCATCTGATTATACTACACAGTAATGCCTTACTACTATGTTCCACCTAAGAAATCGTCAAATGTTTGTAGTCTATTTTGACTACTTTTTCGGCTTTCTTTTGTTTCATAGACATGGCATCTCATATAGATAGCCCAAGAATCTAAGAAAATTGGCAAGAACATATACACCATGTGTCTCATAAAATAACCGCAAAAACAACTAGTACTATTTGTCTTAAAATAGTAATTAGTTATCTTAGCTAGGTCTCAAGGAATCAATGGAACATGTGTAATGTAACTTTTACATTACATCACGTAAGAGTTCTTTTTATGATCTCAAGAATAAATATTGCTTGGTAAAAAGAGAATAAAAAATAGTATATGTAACTAATGCATTCAGACAAAATAAGGATGTAAAGTAAATAGAGAAAACAAAAGATGCTGAATTTTATCTAAATCATGATGATTAGTTTGCGGGTTAAATGTCTTCTACCCTCTGCAATAGTAGCGGGATTTGATTTATCCCTTTTAAAAAAAAAAAATCTTTTCGCCCCTCAACAAATATAGATTCCATAACCAAAAACCTTTTATTCTAAGATTCCATTTGAAATGCAGGCGTGGCCAGAATCTATTTGCTGACTGTGTCATGTATGCCACCGTGGACTGGTTATATCTAAGGTCATTACTTATAACATACTTGCTATCTTGATTCCCCTTTGAAAATCTAGGGTTTACTTTCAGATAAACTTAGAAAACTGAAAATGGAGAAGAAACATGCAGCGAAGAAGAAGAAGCACCCAAAACAATCGAAGCATTCAAGGCAACCGAAGAAGCACGATGAAGAAGGAGCTTCTGTTGATGCTGAAAAGGTGAGTTTTTTCACCGTCTTGTTCATTTACTCATACATATAGTTAAATGTTAGGTTTTTAATGTTTTCCCAAATGATTTCAGAATAATCAATTTGTTCAATGTTGTATTCCACCATAGTGGTGAATTTGTAATGTTGAATAATGGGGTTACGATTTACAGATGGGGTGTATGTACTTTAGTTTCGGATCTCCACATGGATCAGTTGACAATGCTTAGCATCCATAGGTTGGTTACCGGTTGGAATTACAAGCAAGGAACATATAGAACTTGGACTTTAATTCGTGAAATAGATAAAAAATATTTCCAGATTAAGTGTTAGGGATAAACCAATTTTAACAATGTGTGAGTGGATTAGGAAGTATTTAAGAACAAATGCTCTACTTCTGCCATGAAGCTTAAAAAATGGCCTCATAAGGTTATGCCAATTCCTAAAAAAAATACTTGATAATGAGGTTATGTTTAGTGGTCAATGGCTTCCTACTTGGGCAATGGATGAAAAATTCCAAGTCACTCATTCCTATAACAGTCAGGAATTTATAGTTGACAGTTTTAAGAGATCATGTACTTGTAATTTCTAGGATTTAGTTGGTATTCCTTGTAGGCATGATGTTGCTGTTTTGGGTTTTAGGCAACAAAATCCAGAGAATTTTGTTGATCACTGTTATTATAGAGACAATGCTCAAACATGTAAAAGCACAACACAAGATCCTAATGGACTAAAGAGAAATGTATGATAAGTGTGTATTATGAACTGACATATCATGTATTTTGAACTAACAAGTAATGTGTTTTATTTTTGTAGAGGAAGGTCAAGGTAGGTACAACCATACAACATGATGATGTTCAACAAGCTTGTGCAACTGAGGCACCAATACAATCTGATGCAATTGAGGCACCAATACAAACCGGTGCAACTCAAACTGCAGCAACTGAACCAGTTGACTATTTTGAAAACATAACTGATGATATCATTTCAAGCCTTCCTGAGTTCAACACAACACAATATTCTGCTGTGGTTGGTAAATCAGACACAAAGGACAAGACAAAAGTGAAAGATGCCAAGTCAGTGAGAAAGAGGTCTAGTGAAATAATAAAACTCAAGTGGTTTCAAAAACCAATCACAGAGCCAAGTTCAAACCCTGATCAGCCTATGTATGTGACAGAAGAAGATGGAGGAAATTTGACACAAGAATGAAGTGGTTCTAAACGTGCAAAGAAGAAATCTAAGAAGTAGTCTTATGTTTGTATTACTTATTTTGTCTATTAGATCCTTTAATTATGACTCCTACATTTTGTTATGGATTGTGTCCTTAAGTTAAGACTTCTGCATTTTGTTATGCTGTTATGCCCTATTGTAATGACTTTGGCATTTTGTTCTACTTATGCCTTAATGTAATGACTTCTTTATTATTGGTTTCAATTGATAAGGTTATTTAATGGTTTCAACTGGTAATACAATATTGTAAGAAAAATGAAACACTTTTATTGAATCAAAGTTGACATTAAACAAACATCATATTGCATTGATGTAACTTAAACCAACACTGTAAAGATATTACAAATACTATTGCAGCTGGTCTTTAAATCAGATTCGCCACCCTTAACTTTTATCATAAGGAAGGGGATATAAAGGGATAATCCTAAAAGTTAGAGATTCTAGGTTTTTGGACTCGGTTCTAGTCGAAGGAAAGGTGTTAGGCACCCGTCATCTACCTTGTTCACAAGGATACTAGGTTTAGAAGCGTAATCTTTAAGGAATAGGGTTTTAATTTTACTTAGGGAAAAAGGGTTTCAATTTTAATTAGGGGAAATGGTTTTAATTTTAATTAGGGGAACTCATCACAATTTTTGATCGTATGCCTACGTATCCTCTTAGGAGGAATCAGAGTCTCATTTCGTAGTTTGCGGTGGGTCTGTATTTTTTATGAATTACGCAGATGTTTTAATTTCCCTCGCAATTAGCCCGGGTGTGTGAATAGCAGAAATTTTGAACTAAGCGTGCAGTTGATTAAAATATGCTTCGTAAACCTTTTCTAAA